GGGGGGGGGGGCGGTTAGACAAAAAAGGAAAGATGGGAAGGGTTGATTGGCAGTGTAAAATATTAGTATGTGAAAGAGAAGGTATGGGATATTCGTATGTATGCATTGATATTTAGTTACTTGCCAAATAGGTACCAAGAGGATTTTTCAATGTGCTACACGATGCTTTAATGGGTCAAGAAAATATATTTTGTTTTTGTTTCATTTGTTTGGTTGCAAAGTTTTCTTTCATGAGTTGGGTAGGATAGATGTGCACATGGCAGTTTACTAGGTATTCAATGGAAATGGTAGTCTTAATTAGTAGTAGTACAGGATTCTGGAGAGAGAGCGAGAGACGGTGAGAGGAGCTGTAAGGTAAATGAACAGCGACTTCGAATTCTAAGAGTGTGCAATAAATAGTATCATGTGAGTGTTTTTATAGCGTATGGGGGAATGGTTGAGTGATGTGAAGTTTGTTATTTTTTCAATTTTGATTTATAATAGATGTATGTATTTCTTGTGCATAACATGTAAAATGATTTTATTATTCACAAAGTCCATATTACTTCTTAAGAGTGATTACAGGATGTAATGTGTAATTCACCAATGGCTAGTTTATAATTCCTAAAATGTCAAACTGTAATATCAATACAAGCCATTAATCACACAACCAATGTCACCCATCTTCTCAATCCTTCACCCCCCTCAATGCTCTCATCTACAAAATATCTGTGCTCTCATTCTAAACACGTACAAAGACGGCTCAGAAAAATCCTAAACAAAATCCAAGTCATGGTACACGAAACCCTCGGAGATGATACGGCAAGTGTAAACCTACCACACGAGATTTGGTCCTAGATTGTTACACTAAAATTACGTCAACCTTGTTGTCTGCACGGAGAACCCTATCACGCGTGGAAACCCCCTTTTTTTGTTTGTTTTGCACTCCGCTGGCGAGTAAAACGAGTGAAGGGAAAAAAGGGGATCATCGTACAAAGTTGAGAATGAAATTACGATGAGCAATGTGCTAGCCGAAGAACGCAGCTTACTATGCGCCACACACGGGACTTGGAGCGAGAAAAACCAATAAAGCCAAGAAAGGCCAGTTTTGTTTATACGAAGATAAAGGAGAATTAAAAGGAGTGCAAAAGTAATGGCAAATGATATCTTTCATGTTGAAAACTAGGCCAAGTGTTGCAAAAAGTAAACAACTACGGGCCAAGGTTGCACAGACGAGTATAATGGGAGACTGTGGTGGTACACGGTTGCTCCGCCCAGGCGCCTGTCCGCACAGAGCCATACTTGGCAGCGGAAGGACGACGATTGAGTGGTGACCGTGTACGCGGAGAAGTGTGCACGTGTGTCTCTCCAGATTTCTTGGCTAAAAAAGTTTTCCTTTCTAGCTTTCAGTGTCCGGCTGCAATGCCGAGGACTACCTAATCGGTAAAAGTATGGAGAAATGGAAGAATGCTGTCGAAAGCGGGGTTGAGATGCAAGCTGTTGCGTGATTATATTGCATGGTCAAAAGGCGGACGGATATATGGCAAAAAGGCAGTCATCATGGCAAGATCGGATGTATATGTGGGGGTCGATGACAGGTCAAAATCTGGGGAGTTGAGGGTTCGGATGAACCCGTGATGGTTGCCAAGAACAATATGGTGCAACCTCTGAAAATGCCGCACTAAAGTGTCAGCGGCTTGGACAAGCTGGGCACACTTTGGACAGAGTAGGAATGTATTTGACCATAGTAGCGGATGATGATAAGCCGGACGCGGAGCATAGTGCCCGGGCGGAGATGCGACGAGCACAGCGGACGGTGTTGGATTGTGCGGAGAGTGGGAGAGCCAGCGCCAAGAGCGATCTACGAGATCCGGCGCTGATGCAAACGACTGATCTGCTGCTTGGCAGGTATCGGAGCAGTCATTTTCAGGTGCGACCATGATAGATGATTTGAGTGGCTATACTCTGACGGGAGCAATGTGGTTGGGGATATGTCGCACTATGGTTATGCAAAGTTTTCTACCACGCCCAGGTGGTGGTAGCGTGAGTAATTGCACATGCTCCGATATCAATGCTCCTCACAGGTCCAGTTGGACTTGATTGGTGGGGGGCTTGGTATACATATGTTCAACGCAGGTGGACAGTGTTGAATTTGTCATTGAACATGGCAAGAGTGCATTTGGTTGAGTAGACGTCCGGTGTATGCAATCGCGACCAGGCCGCAGGAAGACATGAGTGAGGCGGGCTGGTGGAGCCCATCGTCCCTGCATGCGTCGGATGCAAGGGTTCGCGTGCCGTGAGCAGTTGGCGCGGCAGACATGGTTTGAAAAAAAAAAGCCATTGTTTAGTTGGGAGCAGGGACAGAGTTCGGAGGCTGGGAACGAAACAATGGCAGCCGCACATGAGCCTCAGGTAGATCAGCCGTGAAGGTCGGGAGTGCCTCACCGGAAGCGTATCACGAGGCTGGAGGGCTAACTAAGATGGAGTTGTGAAAGTTTCCCGAACATGTGTCGGTGTTTGAAACGCGGCGTACAACAATTGGCTTGGCATGTGGGTGCCGCAACGCACATGCTGCAGGTACGAAGGTATCGCGAAAAGACGTTGACGGTGGTGATCAGCGCAAGCGATGGGGCCGTCTGTCTCAGGACGAAGCACAGAGGGTCGTGGCCGTTAAAGCACATGGATGGTGACAGAGGGGCAGAGGACGATACTTCACAAACCTTGTAGCAATAGCATGTACAAACAATACAACAGACGAGATAACACACGACGTAAGGGTGCGTGCGATGAGCGCGGACCGACACCGGTGGGTGGGGCGCGTGGTGGGAGCGATTCAGAGGGCCAGTCGAGGGCGAGGGTTGGCGTCGGTAAAAACGATGAGTGATGGATGGGGTGGTAGGCGGAGGATGGTATGCAGTACGTGTTCGTACTCGCACACATGTGGGTTAGAGCGATTATTCCCGCACGGCGGTGAGGCTCACTCGCGTGCCGGCGAAGCATCGGCAGTGAGAGTGGCAGGAAGGCGCGTCACGTGCGTGGACGTGGCGGCTGCCGTGTTGGGAAGGCCATCCACGGTCTGGAAACCGGGGCAGACTCGCAGGCTCCCCAAGCCCTCGCAGGCATATTGGCATTGGCATTGGCGCAAAGGGCAGCAGCCGCGAGCACGACACAACGAGAACGGCCAGGCCAGGCTCTTTTGCAGCCAAAGCCCTGTGCGACGGAACCGTGTTTCAATTTCTCCACGGCACACGCTGGGCGTATAGTGTAGTGGAGCGAGTGCGGTTGGTGGTATTAGTCTGTCTGGCCATGATAACACAACTGCTAACGGTCACGACCGGGGGTGGTCAGGGTTGGCCGGGCGACGGCGTGACAGTAGGTGTGATTCGGCCGACATGGCTGGCCGTCTCAGCAGCGGTAGGGCTCGTTGAGACAGGGCCGATGCCCGAAGCAGGCCGTGGGGCGTGCTGGATCATGGAGAGGGAGGGGGAAGTCGGATATTGAGGCTCCATGGTGCTTGGTGGTGCGTGGGGCTGGAAGGCCGCTAGAAGAAAATTGTGAATGCAGCCAAAAGTCGCGCAGGCGTGGGGAGGGCTCGGGGGACCACAGCCAAGGGCCAAAGAAAAAATGCCTCGCAGCATTGAGCGGAGGTGAGGGGCGAGCCAAGGCGACAAGCATTGTCTACAGAGCGAGACGAAGCTTGGTGCTCGCTGCGAGTGCCAGTCAGTGGCGGCGAGTGGAGGAGGAGGTGGTGGTGCCTCTGGTGCTACTCGATGCTGGCCGGGCGTGGGTTGCAGTTGGCCAAACGTCATGGGGGCGCATCCCTGCCACGCCTGCACGCTTGTCGCGGAATGTCGCGCTATCTCCAGCTTAATCTCAGCAGCCGGCGACAGAGACGCGTTGAAGGAAACGAGACGAGCGAGGCTGGGTTAGCGAGCAGCAGACGATGCAGACACGGGCAGGGTAGGGCAAGGCAGGGCAGGCAATAGTACAGGGCAATGAGGGTGGCTGGGCGGATGGTTTTGTTCGGAGTAGTGGCTTGTAGCAAGTATTGGTGGTGGAGGGAGTAGTGGCAACAGGAGCGATAGTAGCAGTAGTTCTTAGCAGGAAGTAGCAACGGCAACAGCAGCAGCAGTGAAGGAAGGTGCTTGCCATTACTTCCTTCTCCCTGGCGGAACAAACCGGCCGTCCGTGGCAAACATTTGAAAAAAAAGGACTCACAGATGATGCAGTCATGCTGAAGGGAGTGGGATGATTGCAGTTATGGTAATCTTCACTCACTCATCCCATTCCTTCACCATCACTCACCTGCCTGCACCCACTCGCAGCCGCCCATGACGACGAGGCAAAAGCAGTCGGATAATCGCTTGTCAGCAGCGCGCGACGGCCACCCGCCCTCGGCCGGTCACTGCTGCACCGCCAAAACGGCCAATCTCTGCTGTTTGCGGCGCGCCGATGATGTAGCGTGCGGTGCACGGACCTAGAGTGCTGCAAAAATGCCCCCGGGCTGGTCGGCTCGAGCTATTCCCCAACCATGGCTAGTTTTATGACAATCATAAATCCCTCATAGCGGCCAAAGGTCGGTCCTTGCTGAGTTTTCCCTGGTTGATACGTGGGTGAGCTTCTCGCGCGCTACTTAACCAGAGCCGCGCCCGCCCTCTGAACACTTCTTCACAGAGAAGGCCCTGCTTGCGGTTCCCCTTTGCACAGCACTTTCGACCTGACCTCAATCCCTCCCAGTCAAGTCGCCCGGAAAGCCTTCTCTGTGCCTAGAGTTACCGGATATAATAATACATACGAGCAACACCCAATCCCTAATTCGACTCCGACATGGCGCCCAACGACGATGTTGAGCGCCCGCGGGCTAGCTCTGGCGCTGAGCGCCAGAAGTCCATCGTCTCCATGACCGAATTCGACGGCATGGACGAATATACAGCGCTCCAGAAGTACATCCTCTTCTACCGCGACGCAAAGGTCAACCCCCACGCCACGCCCACCGTCAAGGTCAAGAAGTGGTGGCAGTTCTGGAAGTCCGGTTCTACCACCGCTGCCCCCGTCGCCGACGCTGGCGCTGTTCCTGATGATTGTAAGTCTTCGATCACTCCTATCCCCCATAGCCCATTCCCTCTTCCCCACGCTCCAATTGCCCGCCTCGCGACCGCACATCCTCCACACACATACACCCGCGCACACACCACGCGCCTGCCACCTGCCTATTAAGACGGCTTGGCAATACTCATTCGCCATTTGTTGTCGTTGAGCAGCAGAGGCCGCAATGTGGTCGCTGGCGTTGTGTCATGGTCCAAGCTCAAGCTCGAGCTTCCTGCCCTGCTAGCTCAGCCCGTGGCGGCACAGCGCAGTGGAGAATCCATGCACGTCGACTCCACCAAACTATCCGCTACTGTCCTCACCAGCCGCGCCCTGCAAAACATGCGCAAAAAAGACACTTTTGCTAACATTGCCTCACAGTCCTCAACACTGAGCTTCGCACTGGTCTTTCCTCGCACGAGGTCGAGGAGCGTCGCAAGCGCTATGGCTTCAACGAAATCACCAGCGAGAAGACCAACCTTCTCAAGCAGTTCATTGGTTACTTCACCGGTCCTATTCTCTACGGTAAGCACCCTCCCCATCCTTGCGCAAACCTTGTTTTAGCGCAACTGCTAACGCCTAGCCAGTCATGGAGCTCGCTGCTCTTCTCGCCGCCGGTCTTCAGGACTGGATTGATTTCGGTGTCATTTGCGGTATCCTGTTGCTCAACGCCATTGTCGGTTGGTACCAGGAGAAGCAGGCTGCTGATGTCGTCGCATCGCTCAAGGGTGACATTGCCATGAAGGCAACTGTCGTTCGTGACAACCAACAACAAACCATTCTCGCCCGTGAACTCGTCCCCGGTGACATTGTCGTCGTCGAGGAAGGTCAGACCGTCCCTGGTGATGCCCGTCTTATCTGCAGCTACGACCACCCTGAAGACTTCGAATTGTACATGAAGCTCAAGGCTGAAGACAAGTTCCACGACGCTGACCCCGAAGACGAGAAGGATGATGATGTCGATGAGGAGAAGTTCGATGAGGAGAATCCTATCACCCAGGGCCACCCTCTCGTTGCCTGCGATCAATCGTCCATCACCGGAGAGTCTCTCGCTGTCGACAAGTACATGGGAGAGGTTGCCTACTACACCACTGGTTGCAAGCGCGGCAAGGCCTACGGTATCGTCATCACCACTGCTAAGCACTCTTTCGTCGGTCGCACTGCTACCCTCGTTCAGGGCGCTCAGGACCAGGGTCACTTCAAGGCTATCATGAACTCCATCGGAACGGCGCTTCTCGTCCTCGTGATGTTCTTCATCCTGCTCGCCTGGATTGGTGGTTTCTTCCGTCACATTCCTATTGCCACTGCCCGCGAGGGAACCGACAAGTCCGTCACTCTCCTCCACTACGCCCTCATCATGTTCATCGTCGGTGTCCCCGTCGGTCTTCCCGTCGTCACCACCACCACTCTCGCCGTCGGTGCTGCCTACCTTGCTGAGCAGAAGGCTATCGTCCAGAAGCTCACTGCCATCGAGTCGCTTGCTGGTGTCGATGTTCTCTGCTCTGACAAGACCGGTACTCTCACTGCCAACCAGCTTTCGCTCCGTGAGCCCTACGTCGCTGAGGGTCAGGATGTCAACTGGATGATGGCCGTCGCTGCCCTTGCCTCGTCCCACAACCTCAAGTCTCTCGACCCCATTGACAAGGTCACCATTCTCACCATCCGCCGCTACCCCAAGGCTCGTGAGATCCTCAACATGGGCTGGCGCACTGAGAAGTTCACTCCCTTCGACCCCGTCTCCAAGCGTATCACTGCCGTCTGCCACATGGGTGGTGACAAGTACGTCTGCGCCAAGGGTGCCCCCAAGGCCATTGTCAACCTCGCCAACTGCGATGAGATCACCGCTACCCTCTACAAGGAGAAGGCCGCTGAGTTCGCTCGCCGTGGTTTCCGCTCTCTCGGTGTCGCTTACCAGAAGAACGACGGTGACTGGATCCTTCTCGGTCTCATGTCCATGTTCGACCCCCCTCGTGAGGATACCGCCCAGACCATCGTTGAGGCTCAGCAGCTTGGTGTTCCCGTCAAGATGTTGACTGGTGACGCTATTGCCATCGCCAAGGAGACCTGCAAGATGCTTGCTCTCGGTACCAAGGTTTACAACTCTTCCAAGCTCATCAACGGCGGTCTTACTGGTACCACCCAGCACGACCTTGTCGAGCGTGCCGATGGTTTCGCTGAGGTTTTCCCCGAGCACAAGTACCAGGTCGTCGAAATGCTCCAGCAGCGTGGTCACTTGACTGCCATGACTGGTGACGGTGTCAACGATGCTCCTTCCCTTAAGAAGTCTGACTGTGGTATTGCCGTCGAGGGTTCCACCGAAGCTGCTCAGGCTGCCGCCGATATCGTCTTCCTTGCCCCTGGTCTGTCCACCATCGTTCTTGCCATCAAGACTGCCCGCCAGATTTTCCAGCGTATGAAGGCCTACATTCAGTACCGTATTGCTCTCTGTCTCCACTTGGAAGTCTACCTCGTCACCTCCATGATCATCCTCAACGAGACTATCCGCGCTGAACTCATCGTCTTCCTTGCCCTGTTCGCTGATTTGGCTACCGTCGCCGTCGCTTACGACAATGCCCACTCTGAGCAACGCCCCGTCGAGTGGCAGCTGCCCAAGATCTGGTTCATCTCCGTCATCCTCGGTCTCCTCCTCGCTCTCGCCACCTGGGTCGTCCGTGGTACCCTCTTCATCCCCAGCGGTGGTATCATCCAGAACTTTGGTGCTATCCAGCCCATTCTGTTCCTCGAGGTTGCCCTTACTGAGAACTGGCTCATCTTCGTCACTCGTGGCGGCAAGACTTTCCCCTCCTTCCAGCTGGTTGCCGCCATCTTGGGTGTCGATGCTCTCGCTACCATCTTCACTCTCTTCGGCTGGATGTCCGGTGCCCCCTACCAGACCAACCCCCCTACTATCAACTCCCGCTTCCGTGATGACGGATGGGTCGACATTGTTACCGTTGTCGTCGTCTGGGCCTACTCTATTGGTGTTACGATCATCATCGCCATTGTCTACTACATGCTTAACCGCATTGAGTGGCTCGACACTCTCGGCCGCAAGGACCGTAGCCGCAAGAACCCTGCCATTGAGAACATGATTGCTGCTCTCAGCAAGCTGTCTCTCGAGCACGGAACCGACAAGCACGGAACTACCCGTTATGTCCTTGCTCCCCGCGCTGTTGAGGAGGAGGATGACGACTAGATATGAGTCGATGTGTATTTGGATATTTGCTAGGGTCCGATGAGCCCACCTTCACGGAAAGGTTAATT